ACATCGATCACATGTGTCTATATATATATATATATATATATATTCCATCAAGGAGAAACTAGTGTCTCCCTACATGTTGAAGTAAAGGGAAGGTTACAAAATCAAGATCAGCAGGATATGCATGTTGATTCAATATAGGAATCAACAGTCCTTCAAAATACACAAAACAACAAATTGCCTTATGGGGCAGCAAGGTAAAGTAAAAAAGAAGCTTAAGGGAATCCCCAAAAACAAAGGGGGAGCACACTAGAGAAGGGGACAAAAGGGACAACAAATAAAGCAAAACAGTCACCATACTCTTGATGTAATTCTGAAAAGTGGGACTTCTATCAACTCTTTCCTCACAAAGTGTGAACATGAGGGATACATAAATCATCCCCATGCAGTAGATAAGCTAAAGAAGGAGGTGGAATATTTGCCACAATTACTTGTTCAGAGCATCTACCAGAAGTGGCCAAGAGATGTTCAGGCCCATTGGCTTTCCTGTTAATGTGCTGAAATTTCACTGTGTAGCTACCAAAAGCCATCTGCATTTTCCTTATCCATCTTCCAATGTGCCAAGTGGGGTCCTCCTCATGCTGCAAAAACTTGATGCAAATGCTGGAGTCTGTTTCAATGATTAATGACCCAAATTACAATGGACAACAATTTTAATAGCCCAATAAATTGCTATCGTTTCAGTCTCTAATGCATCTAAGGCCCAAGTTGGTGAGGAGAAGTGGAGAACATATTGTCCTAGAAAGTTTCTGAAAACTCCACCACAACCAGTAGATTTCTTTAAAAAGCTGCCATCAGTATTTACTTTCATCCAGCCATCAGGAGGAGGAGCCCACTCAATCAATGAGAACTTGAAACTATACTGGTTAGCACCCTGAGGTACCCACTGCCTGAAAATATTAGGGAAGTTGTGGTATTTAATAATTTTCTGTAAGTAGGATGTGCAATGAGTAGTAACAGCTTTAGCAAGGGGTGTTGAATTCTCAAATTTAACATGATTCCTGCACATCCAGATAAACCAAGCCACAACACAAGGGATAACCATAACCTGTAATTTATTTCCACTCTTCCCAGCAGCTGTAGAAGTTATTCCAGCTGAGATTAATTGTATCAATTTTTACAGTGATCAATAACTCAGTCCAAACTTTTTGAGAGAAACTGCATTTGAAGAAGAGGTGATCCAAAGTCT